TATTCATGGATTAAGTTGGTTGATGACCAAAGCATATTATTAATATTAATAAATATTGTTTTTATTTTACTCTATAAAATAGCATCAGTTATTGGACTTGTCATCTATTTTTAGTCCGGATAGGAAACGAAGATTAATAAAACCGCAGCTGAAAGCTGAGCTCGCCACTACACCTTCTTCTTCTGCGCCTGCACGTCCAACTTTATTGAGAAACATAGCAGCTCAGATGAATGGGAAAGTTGTTGACTCTGCGAGTTTGGTTCGAACAAGAAGTACTAGGGCAATAACCGAAACAACTACCAATGAACAACCTTCTACTTCTTCAGGTGGAAAGCCTGTAACTTTGAAGCCTAATAGTGCTGCTACATCAGGGAAAACAGGTGAACTAATTGATAAAATAATTTTAATTTTAAATTTGCCTTATGATTTCTATTATAGAATCAGACTCTATAGTGTAGGGTTGTATTCATGATTTTCAGTTACAAGGGAGTTTTTCTTGGAAATGTAACTTTCTTAGAGAAGCTTATCAAGAACTTCTTAAATAGTTTTGGTTGGGACATTTGTTTGTCTACATTCGACCTATTGTTGCTGTTGTTACTAATTATTTCTTAATGGGTACCCTCACTGTATATTCATTGTTAGTTTCTTAAAGGGGGTATTTTCCTGAGCTTGTACCTTTGGATTAAGGGGGAAATAACATTCTATTTCTGCCTCCGTAATATTTCCTGAACTCGAATAATTTCCTGAATCTGCACAGTTACTGTGTTAGCTCAGGACAGATACAGCAAGAATGCTAGATCTGAAGCACCTTTGCTCATTTTGGATCCCAATACTACATTCTACAACAATACAAAAAGATAAAAGAGTAATTGTGTAAAGAGTAAAGCTTTAGTAAAACTTATGAAAAGAGGATGAGTAAGTAAAATAGCATCTTGCTTTGCATGCACTTTATATATATTCCATATTGAAAACATTAATTTTATTAGTGAGGAGATACGTATTAGATTCTAATAAAAACTTACCCTCTTTTTTTGTCTAACAGTACTAGAAAATTCTACCAAACATTCCAAGAACCAGAATGTTTTACCAGTCCCTAATCAAGCCAATTATATCCATAACACTAGGAATAATACTGCAAGAGAAAATTTAGAAAAAGATAAGCAAATTAAACGTAAACCAAAATCAGCTATGGTCAATCCACAGGGTAAGTTTGTTTGAATTTTATTGGTTTGTTTATTGTTTATTTGTAAGATCAATAACATCTATTAAAAATATAGTAACACAATGCAGCAAGAATCTGACCAGAAAAGTGAACTCTACAAAATCATGCTTTCTTCTCCCAAGCCTTTGCTATGGTGTGATATCAAAGGCCACCAAGACATCCAAGGTCACACTGCCATTAGTGTCCTGATGCAATTCCTCTTCAAAGAACCAGATATCTGCCTCTACCTCATTGAATATCCTCCCTCTTTTCTTTTCTGTGAGATACAGGTCTTTCACAATTCTCACACCCCTCAACGGGCTGCATTTGCTATAAGTAGTCTGTGGCATATGATGTTGAAAAATAGATCACATTAGTAAAAAGTAATGAATGCATTTGATAATAAGGATGCTGTGAAACTGAGACTGCCTACATTTGGAGTTCAGTAGGTTGATCGCTCCAATTCAGCATTTTAACCTGTAAATTTAATTAAGATTTTGAAAGTTGTCTGTGCAGTTAAAATGGCTGCCATGAGTTACTTACACATTGCTTTGTTGTTATATCAGATTGCAAGAATAATGCAATGGCTTTGGCCTTGGGAAGCATCCAAGTAAATGGACATGGGGAGCAATCTTCAAAACCTGTATTTAAGAGGGGTCCTGGACGGAAACCCAAGATTGAGACCAACAATACGTGTGAAGTGGTGCACAAGAAAAGAGGGAGAAAACCAAAAACTCTGCTACTTGCTGAACAGAAACATTCAGAGGAGCACAGAAACCGGACTATGAAAGATTTGATAATGGAAGAAGCCTCTGTTTCTACTGCATGCAATTCTGTCTCTGAAAACAATGTGAAGGAAGACTTGTTACAAAGAAAAGGGCGTGGTGGGAGGAAACCTAAAAGAAAACTACAGGAAGATCAGCCAGAATTTGAACTTACTTTTTCTCCTGATCCTAAGATTCAGACAAGAAGCAGGAGGAAAAAGACAGATGAGCCTATTGAAGAAGAGACTGAGGAATGTAAAGATTCTGAACCTCATATGAGAACTAGAAACCAAGGTAGGAGGACAGCCTTTTACAATGAAGATGATTCAGAAGAAGAACAAAGACAACTATTGTTTGAGGACACTTCTTTGACTTTTGGAACATCTAGCAGAGGCAGAGTCCGAAAGTTGACTGAAAAAGCAAAGGCTAATCTGATTGGTTGGTAATTTTGGCATTTAAAAATGCTAATAAATAGGTACAGTTAAGAAATTCCTAGACCTAAGGGTATCTGCTTTCTGCTGCTATTTACAGATGAGAATATGTTCTAAATATGATAAAATATAGCAAAAACAAACTGAAATTTTCTTGAAAGAAGTATGTATTTTAAACAACTGCTATTTATTGTTCTCCGAGTAGGTTATGCATTTCAATTCAGTATGTTCAGTTGGTATAAATGAAATTCTTGATTTCCAGAAATGTTACTGTAATTTTGAGCAGTACATAAACCTCTATTTGAAAAGTAGAATTTTTACTGTAAAGATTGAGAACAGATCTCCTATTTTTGAATGAGCAAGGTACAGTACGTTTGTATAGATTGTAGAAACTGTATTTGCAAAATGATAGAGTATGGCACTAAATGCCATAGAGAACAAAATTACCAAATTTGCTAATTAGGTACTACTTATTCAATAGTGATTGGGCACAGTTTTATACAAACACAGGGCAGATCATTTTATCTAAGTTCTGCCAGAGAGAGAGAGATCACATATATAGATATATAGATAAATATATATATATATATATATCCACATTGGAAAAAGTTTGACTAATACGTCTAATTTTTCAGACCTTCATTCTTGTACCAATCATATATCTCTGTTTATTGTGCCAAAGACTGAGAAACAGAATAGAAAAAAAACTTTTAGTATGAGTGCAACATGATATTTTCAATTATATTTATCACTCCTTGTTCAAAGTATACATTATTCTGGAATATTACCTCTACTGGTATGCACTGGTAGACTCTTTTGACAGATATTGAAACAAAATATAATTTAATTAAAGGGTTCAGTTGAGCTGCGGGAAAAGTGTGAGACTCTGATGTTTATGTTATGACCAGATCGATTGCTTCTATGAATTGTGTTAAACTGACAAATTATTTTCAAAAGAAGTTGATGTGTATGTATATATTGAGTATATACACGAGCACATAAACATAAAATTACCCAGGTATAATTTTCTTTCAGGATTTTTTAGATTGCTCTAGAATATTAAAAATTTTAAATGTCAGACTTTAAGGGGAAGATTGGTTGTTTTCCATTATTAAAGACAAAAAGGCCAAATCACTTTTTATGCAATCATATTTTATACAGTGTTCTCATTGCACATTGTTTTTCTGCACTTTTTACAGTATACTTAACCAAGCTGACATGAGTCAATATATCCATCTTAAAGGAAAATCCCACTTTATGATTGTGCCTTGTATTCTATTATTTTGTGCATCTTTTGTAATCTTAAGTTGTCTATTGTAAATGATGACTGTATGACTTAGGGGAATGTATTGCTGTATGTACTGCTACGGAAAAAACAGTTATTTATTTGTTTATGGTACATTTACTTATTTTATCCCTTTTAAAACCTTAATACAATTTTTATTGTTTAAAATCATAGTCCATTTAAAAATAACAGAGTAAAACAGTTGTATGGTACAAAAATGTAACCTCACTTTTACTTTAACATTCTTGCAGGAAATGGGAGATGTGCAAAAGATGGCAATTTAATTTTGTTTGGTTTTATTTGGAAATACATTATCTAAAAATGCAGCTGTACAGCAGTGTGTTGCCTGTTCCAAAGATGCTTGGTATGATCAATTTTGACAGTAGAGTTTGAAGAGTAAGGATCTGAATCTAGGCTTCTATGTTTTCACCGAATTCAGTGTTTCATTCCTCCAAATAGATTATTGGCACTACCAAAGATTGTGGTATTGATCAGCTACTTGATCTTACACACAGTTGAAGAATTGTAGGTAGTTTTAGTCACCACAGCCAAATCTGTGCAAAGGAAATTTCAATTGAATAGAGTTCAGCACAGATGCAGGAAAGTTGCTTGCTTGGAATGCAAATATATCTAATATTCATTTTGAACCTCAGCCAATTATGTGGCAACCCAATTTTAAAATATATATTTGGTTTGACCACAGAAACCTAGAAGTGTATTTTTTTCTATATTCTTTTAAGCTAACCATATTTATAAGAATTAGAAATATGCATCATGTAAGAACTTGTTTCCCTAACTTAAAAAGTAATGTCATTATCATATGGCATTTTTAAAAAGTTCCATAGCACTTCATATTTCCACATTGTGATGTTTTGGGGACTCTTCATATTATACTGGCACAGGTCTCTTTGTATATTTATTTTCTTTAATATTTTAAAGAATCGCACATGCATATTTTAATACTGATTTTTAAGGGGAATGGACTTTTCTACATGTTTTTAAAAACAAAATGTGTATTCTTGGTAACATTTGGAGGCATTAACCATGAAAGCATGACAAGCTGTGTACAAAGACAATTCATTTTACAGCTTACAATGAAAAACATTGATTTAAATTATCCATTTTAGATTTTATCAGAAGGTAGGAAATTTAAGTTATCTGATTTTCTGATATTATCCATAATGGAAAGTTCAAACCAAATAGGAACTTATTGTTGTAATCCTACTGCATTTTATCATTTCCCACTTGGCATGTTTATGTATGTTGGTATAATTTTGGGAGAAAGAATAATATACATGACCATTACGGGACTTGAAAAGTTTTTTTTTTTTTTTTACAAATGACAAAAATTGAAAGTTTTATTTATAACACTTTCCTTTTTCCTGAAGAATTTATTGTAGTACTAAAAGGCCCTACTGTCCTTATCTTTTTTCTAATATTATTTGGGAATTTTCTTCAAAAAATAGTATCTATAATACTGTAGCTATGCTACTTTCTCTAAATAAGATTAAGCTTGACTTGACTTCAATTTCTTTAATTGATTTGGTTGTTTGATTTACAAGATTCTTGCTGTACCAACAAAAATGATTTTCATTTAGCACATAAATAAGCAATAATTCATGGTTTGGTAATTTGTGATGATCTATAATAAAATGTATTATAGATTATATTATGCTATCTTTAGGAAAATATATTTCTTGGCATATTTGCATAAAATATTTATGTTCATATCACCTCTTGGTACTTATGGATACTATACAAATTATTACCTTACAAACTTGGCAGTAATAAAAGCAAATGTTTAATATAACCTAAAAAAGGATTCTGATACAGCATGGACCATTAAGTTTCAAAATGCTAGCTATTTCATTATTTCATTGTTAACTATGGTTAATATGCTGTGGTCTGATAGAAAAGTATTTCACATTCATTGCAAAATAGGTTTTTCATTTTAAAAATTGAAAAATTCCAAATTTAATAATAAAACTAGCAGGCTTGAGTTTTGTTTCCCAGCAGTTATAATAATAACCAGCCTAATAGTGAATATTGAACAATGATCATTTTTGTTAGTGAGAAGTAATGAAGCGTAGAAAGAATTGTCTTCCTATATTAAATTGATTGTTCTAAGGTACATTTGCACCTAAGAGCAATCGATACTATGATTTGTACCATATTATCAATTTTATCAGTGAATATTACTTTATCTTTGTCAAACATTCTACAAGTCATGCTACATGTATTACATATCAGTTTTTAAATGGGCATGTGTGCACACAAACATCTGTCATATGCTATAATACAAATGTTCTTGAAGTACCAATTTAGGATTTCAGTTACACAAGCTTTAATAATCTTAAATAACTTTACAAAGGACCCATCAAAGGGTCCTGAGTTTTGCTTTCTCTAAAGAAAGTTGGTCCCAGGGAGCTGAAGATTGTCACCTCTGCTCTGACGTAAACCCTCTTCCCCTTGATGTACTATATCTAATGAAGGTTTAGGGCACAATCCAGTCCACTTTGCATTTCTAGTTTGCGTCAAGAGGCATACAGAGGAGTATGCTTTGACCTCTTTCCACCATCTGCAAAACCCCACAGGTGAACAGTTCAGTTGTGGGAATGCTCCATAGATGTAACAGGAACCGACTGGATCGGGCTTTTATTCTATGTTTTCATGTATCTGTTAATCTCGCACTTCATATAATTGGACCTAAGGATTCATCTGATAAAAGGGCTGCTCAGTTTCTACTGTAAATAATGTACAAATGTTTATATTTTAAAAATACGTACATTTCATATATGATGGCTAAGTCTGAATATCATTTTTAATCTAAATCACTGGTCTGTGCATTTTTACACAATTTGTAGTTACAATTGGCTATAGAAAAACATCTTTCATGTTTTTGTTTTCAGTTGTTCAGAGCTCTTTGAAGAGAGAACTTTAATTTCAGAAAGGTTGAAAGATAAAATCTAACATTATCGTAAACTCTGAAAGTGCTGGTGTGGTTTATTAGTGTTTTTTGTTGTGCACGGGCAACTAAGCTATTGAATTTGTCTGTTATGTATGTTTCATAACAGTTCCCACTAGCAGAAGAGTCTACATTTCTGGAGGGATATGATGGGATTCAACTCAATATAGATTTTTAAAAATATAAAAGAGATAGGGTGAAGACACTAATGGCATTATTTGTGGAATTACAAAAACCAAGCCCCAAATCTCTTTCTAAAAATGTATAATTTTAGGAATTATTTCTGTTAAACAAAAAGAAATTAACCAATGACTTACTTTGCATAGATAGGAGATACTGAGTTTTAAAAAATACCTTTTTAAAATACAGTTAAACACATCAAGAAACTGCTGTGATAGAAAATGAATTGTTGACAAAATGCTCTAGAAATTACTTATGAAATATTTGCACAGAATTTGTACACTTGCACAGATGGCATTTAACATGTACATATCAGACATACACCTAAAGAAACAAGTTGTCACATTATTTGTTACATTTTTGGACCATCACTGCAAAAATCTGAAAAATAAGTTAAATCTGAATAATCAGTTCACATGACTTTATTTTTAAATAAAACTTTCATCACTTAAAATGTGAAATATATAAAGTAGAACAATATAAGGAAGTTGTCTTGGAACATTTAGTTTTAAAACTGACACATTTAAAGCTATACTTGTTTTGTACAATATGTAAATCCCAGATACGTTTTATAATACCTTTAGGTTTTTTCAATTTCCCCTAGAAATTTCCTTAATTATACTATAAAGTGCAGTCTCTCACCTGGATGAACAGTGCCCTTTCTTTTTGTATATATATTGACTGAAACTTTTATTGTTATGTGAAACACTTATGTTGGTTTTGATGAATAATACTTGGAATCCTTTTATACAAACTAGAATGTAAGTGTAAGAATTACTGTCACTGCAATGTAGTAACAAACCTATTTTTAAATAAATAGAAAACTCGTTTTTCTAAGTTGTGCCGATTTCTGTCATTAATGAAGTTCTTGCAGGAGGAACAGTCAAGATTTTTTTCAAAAACAGTTGTACAGATAATGGAAGAATCAATTTTTAAATAATCCCCTTCATGCTACTTCATCTCTATTTTAATGAAATGGGGCAACATATTAATTTCATTGCTAAATAATTCAGCTGTAGCTAATTAGAAATAGAAAACTTCAAATACATTTGTTCTTGTAGGTTTGCAGAATTTTTGTTAAGCTGAATTTAGTACCAAAGTGGGGAGGGAAACAAATGGAAAATTCCACCCAGGCAAAAGGGAGGAAAAAATTATATTGCTGCCAAGAAAACAATGTATGACTATGTTATACTTGCATTGTTTTTCTTGGCAACAATATAAAATGTTTGCTATTATAATAAATCTTTTTATTTTCTCCTGTGATTAGTTTGAAAGGTTCAGGATTTCTCATAATTGCAATTCAGTGTAACTTCTGAAAACTTATTTTATTTTAGATTTTTCTGTTTTGTTTTGTGTGGCATTTATTCTACGACGGTATCCTCCTAGCGTGGATGATAAAGATCGACGTTATTAATCCAAGAGTCAATATACTTTCAAGAAATTTCAACTTGGCTGCCGGGTGAATGTTGAAAGTATTATTGGCTGTGGAATATGAAATAGGTTTTTCCTATTAACTTCCATGGCTAGCATAACTACTAAGAATAACCCAATTCTTCATTAGGCTGTTTCAGGAGTTTACCTGTTGAAGCCTTTTTTTTGTTTTGTTTTTTGTACTTCCCTAAAGTACAGAGTCTGAGTTAGCGTCTGGCTTGGTACAATGTATACTTTAGCCATGTTCAGATATTTTTCTGAACAAGATGCACTGGAAATATGTTAAGGAGCAAGCCATGCCTGCAATATGTTCTGAGGTGCAGGATCTTCCATAGGCACCTGTACATTCAGCATATATGAAGATAGTTTTCCATCTTAGCACAACTGGAAGTCCTATCACAATTGTGTAGGTACCGTACATAAATACTTTCATCTGAAAATCTTAGAAATCCTGCGGAAAATATTTCTAAGTGGAAGAATCAAAACCGAACAAAATTAACCTACCCAAGATTACCTTTTTTCATTAAAATTGGTGTCCTAGTACACAGTACTGAACCAATTTGGTTTGGATTATAAAGCATTGAGAAAAACAATTTCCTTAATACTTCTTGGACAAAGCCTAACTAAGCAATTTACAACTTAGCAATAAGAAAGTCACAATGAAGCTATTGTACAAATATTTTATTTAAAAAGCAGACTGCTTTGGACCAAACCAGACGTGTACTGCTGCATTAACAAAATTAATTTTTAGGTCTTAGAATAAATTTATATACACAATAGGACTATTGGCTGCTATATAATAGTAACTCTGAATGCCTTTTAGATAAACCAGTTTTCTAAGAAGTTGTACTAACAAATGCTCTAAAAAGGCGGAACCCACTAACAAAGGGAGGACTACAAGGTACATCTACCTATGTTTGCTTTGTTGAGCAACAGAATGTGTCAGTGATTACTTTAAAATGATGCTGGGTGCACATTTTCTTGCGTTGTATAATGATAGCTAAATAAAGCTTTCCATTAATTTTAGATATAACATCTGAACAATGACTTTCTAAAAACACTGGCAGGGATCCACATTTTTCACCCCATTTAATAAAAGACGTTTCTACTTATAGTTCCACTGTAATTTTAAATTTAAGACTATGGAATAATCAAGTAGAGCTTCCTGAGTACATTCTTCTTTATAAAGGTTAAACAAAGTTTAATTAATGGCTGTAGAGGTTAATTAATTCACTTTTATAAGAGCAGCCTTTTTCCTCTTCTTCTCTCCCTTTATTTCAAAAATGGCAAATACCCTTGAAGAAACGTAGATGGTGGCACTTTGGAGTTTCTGCTGAAAACTGAATAAATCTGAAGAATTGTCTATATGATCTTCAAGATGACCTTCCGACTCCTTTGCCTCTTCTTCCTTGATTAGCAGAGGTTTCCCTAGGGAGTGTCCAAATAATTGGCAAACTTCTTGAGCTTTTTGCTGAGCACTTCTAACAGCAGAAACACATACCTGCCTCCTGGAAAGAAAGAGCAGCAAGAGTTAGTTAATTAGTTCTTATTTAAATTGCAGTTTTATGCTTGTCAAACTCAGAATTCGATGACATTTCTTTCAGGTAAAGTGAAGTCCAACTATAGCCTCAAGATATATGATAACTTACTTCAGTATCACTAATTCCACATCTAGGCACATAATTACACACATTTTCGGCATGTCATAGTTACAAGTTTTCCCTTAATAGTATTTGTTTAAAAACTTGTTCTTTTCTGAAAGAAAGCCAAAGTAATTTTTAGGAACCAAACTTGTTTTTTTTCCCTTACTTATTCCTTTTTCCTTGTAAACTATGATAATTGTGTAGTTGAGAGCAAGGCTATTTTACCATTGTTCCCCACACACCATCCTGGAAATATGAAGATCAGATTAAAAAAACTTCAAATAAGTACAACCCCATCTTTAAAAATTTATTGCTATTCTGTTGGTTTCCTTAATTTAGTTACATGCTGCAATACTAGAAAGCCATCTGTAGGTGAATTGGTTAACTCACTTTCTCTTAGCCCAACCCACCTCACAGGATTCTTGTTGTGGCGAAACTAGGAGACAACATTATCCAACTTTCAGTTGCAGAAAAAATAAAGGTGGGTTATAATAAGAAGAATGACAATAGTAACGGTAATAACAATAACCTTCTTCCACTAGAACTTTCTTTTTGTTACAATATTACTGCTCATTTCTTATATTATTATCTTCCTTAAATTAAAGGAGGAAAGTTGGGAGATGAAAAATGTGTCCAACTTGTCTAATTCAGTAATTCATTCTAACATTCTGCAATATTTCCCAATCTCTCCCACCTCCAAGACTGACAACACAGAAATACATATTACAGTAGCAATCTGCCAGAGTAACCCCCGTCTTTTTATTAGTAACTCAGTGGTGATGGCATCCCTCTGCAGCTATGTGGAGATGCTGGTGTGAACCTGATGATCAGTTTTAGGTCTAACTAACAACCCTGGCCCAAAGGACAGCTGCAATCTCTATGTATGGCACAGTCAGTCCTCTTCACGTTGAGCAAGAAAATAGCATTTTTACTTGTGTAATATGGAACACACATTCATGGTGAAATTCACAAGCCAGAAATATACACTTTCTTGGGAAATGTATTGAGAAACTTACCGAAGGGTATCTATAGCCTCCACTGTATGGTAAAAGTGAGGTGAGCTGATGATAACAGATTTATCTAGTTTCTCAACAAGATGATTACATGTATCTTGCATTTTTCCAAAATCAGTAAATATAATGCAGACCTGTGAGTATAAAAATGTAGAAGCTTTTTTCCAATGGTTTAATTGCACGATGACCAAAACAAAAGATAGCAGTATATATGGATCTTTTTCCAGCCTCTCACTTTTTTTTAATTTACTCTCTGTCTCGCACAATGTTTACTATTATAAAGCTGGCTCACAATCTCAAAAGTAAACCAAGTATAGTGAATTAAAAATCAAGTTCTGGCTAGGGTATTATCTGAAAATACTTAAGATACAACTGATGCAACTAGTTAATATCCTAATGCAGTAAATCCAATCTTGGAGCATTGGCAAGCAATATTATATAACTATTAATCTATTATTAAATCTACTTAAGAAATCTAATAGAGCTGCAAAGGGTAGTCAGTTAAACACATAACTTATTTTTCTTTAAATTATATAAAACAAAATACTTAAAAATGGACAAATTTATAAAACTACAGTTACTATCTACATGAAGCTTTCTTCTTCTGTACTATGGGGTGACCCTGAAAAACACTAACATAAAAATTCAGGTCAATGAGAACTATGCAAATGGTTACAAATTATGCACATTAAAAATAGGGGAATACTTCAACACTTAAGTGAAAGAGAAATATATTTTTAAATAAGATTTTTTTTAAAAAAATCTAAGCATAATTTAAGGTGTTGAAATATAGGTAGTCCTCGACTTACAACCACAATTTCTGTTGCTAAGTGAAACATTTGTTAAGTGAATTTTGCCCCATTTTATGACCTTTCTTGCCACAGCTGTTAAGTGAATCACTGCAGTTGTTAAATTAGTAACAGGGTTAAGTGAATCTGGCTTTCTCATTGACTTTGCTTGTCAGAAGGTTGCAAAAGGGGATCACAGGTCCCCGGGATACTGCAACAGTCATAAATACGAGTCAGTTGCTGAGCATCTGAATTTTGACTACGTGACCATGGGGATGCTGCAATGGTCATGTGAAAAACTGTCATAAGTCACTTTTTTCAGTGCTGTTGTAACTTTGAACAGTCACTAACTAAATGAACTGTTGTACATCGAGGACTACCTGTACTTCTCTATTTTAAAACAGCTGCTAGTATCTACTAATATTAAATTAGGACCAAAGTAATCTATCAGAGAGATCTTCATTAGATAAGCTGTAATTTAAATAAAGGTATACACTTTCAAATATGAATCTATGCTACATTTTAGCATCACTTCTCTTCAATAGTGCTATCTATCTATTCACTTTATTATACTACTTGAAAATACTACCCATTCTTAGTTGATCAACATACAAGATAAGCAGAAGAGACATTTGTCCCAAGATACCACAGCAATTAATGACATTTTCAGAATACTTCCATTAAGTTTCCCATTAAAATTCTAAATTAGCTTTAACATGATACAATGCTAAATGACAAAGGAAATGAGTGAATTTAATAAAATTAACAATCTATATCTAGAGGAGCTTTAAAAGTTTTGTCAAATCAGAACAAACATTATATTTGAGACTAAATGTGCTCTTATTTAAAATACTTGCCTCTGCTTCCATCTTATATGCATTTTCTATTCTACTGAAGTTTTTTGTCACAGTCACATCATTTTCCTTGGGGAGGAAAAATGATCATTTTAAGTCAACTACTTAAAAACAATGCTCTTTTAGGTACTAGAAACAACAGACTATAGCAATGTATTTCAAAACAGTAAAAGAAAGTTGGAGATGAAACAGACTCACTAAAATCAACAGAGTTATATTAATAAGGATTAAGTCAAGATCCAAACTTAACATCCCTTCTTAAGCAGTTTTAGCTCATATTTTACCATGAAAACATTTAACCATTTGTTTGATTCAAAAATAAAAAAAGTGCTTCAAAGTAGAAGTTGCTGCTACAGTTTCTTAAAGCAGTTGTGACCCTTCCTGGAATCTTGTGAAAGATCTTTTTGCCTTCAAATTCAAAGGGATAAAAAAATCCTAATAAGCATGGATTGAGTGAACAATTTCCAACAAAACTTAACAAATTATGCTTTGAAAGACTGCAGTATCAGGAATATCCTAAATTACTGGTACCTACAAATTCCTGATAATCTTCTAAAGTGCCACATGTAGGACCGAAAGTGTTACTCAATAGCATCATAAATCATCAAAAGAAACTTAATTATTCTCTAGGATTTTTGAACTGCATTACAAACTGTGATTAACATAAATTCAAATATAGTGGCTAGTATCAATTGGGTGACTAGGCTATCGCTTTTTCAGCCCTAGAAAGAAGGCAATGGAAAAGCACCTCTGAAAATGTTGCCTAAAAATTGCATGAATTTGACTATGGAGTGACCAGGAGCCTGACTGACTAGAAGACCAAATACAGTATATTTATATTTTACTTGTGTGTTTTTCCCCCTCAAATTTTTTTCCACAGTGTTATGTCTTGTATCTAGTTTTATGAGGCATCATACCTAATCCAAAGGTACTAAGTTTTGTGGCTGAACGAAATCTGAAAATGGGTTGAAGTAATTACATCCATATGAACTCAGGAGAAATTATCACTTAGATCAGTACATAACTCCGTTGCTAGTTGCCCAATGACACCGCTTCATGGCGGCCAAATAATATGTATTATCATAGGAATATACAGAGAAATAATCCTTCCTTTGGGATGGTGGATTGGGAAATCTTTAGTAGGAAGGTGCAAACCACAGCTCTGTATCTGATCCAGCAGAGTAAATAAAGAAGGTATATTACCACTGATAAGATGGTCCTGGAGCAAGAGTACCCTAGTGATAAAGGTACTGGACTACTAGCAACCCCAACCCCAGCTCCTTGGTGATTCTGAGCCAATGAATCTCCCTAAACTCAATCTACTTCACGGCCTTGCTGCTGCAATTAAAAAACTTTATGCTATGTACGCTGCCATGGGCTCCTGGATGACAAGTGAGATTCAAATCAAATAAGCTGAGATCAATTCCTGGTGAATGCCCCTAAGCAACAATATAAAAATGATTTACGGCTGCCTACCTCTGGAATGGATAGGGGACTATCCAGATGATCCTTTATCCAAGTATTTCGATGTGTACAGCAGGCCGAGCCACCAATTAGCCAAGCATATTTTAGTCTAATTCAGCGGCTAGCGCTTCCCCATGCTAGCTAAAACCATGAAACGCGGGTAGTTTTTAGCGTGACGGCGACACCAAAGTTCTCAGAAACATACTTAACCTTACTACCTGGCTGAGACGCGAGTTCTCTGCCTCTGGAATGGTGGGACTAAAGCTAGGAAAGATTGAGCCCACTCGCACGAGACGACCGACCCTTGCAAAGGAGACCTACTGCGATTGCGCGCTGGGGAGGGGAGGGGAGTCTCCTTCTTTACCCACCGAGGTGCCGCCGCGCTGCCGAACCGTCTGGGCAATGTAGTCTAGTCTGCGAGCGACGCTGCTCTGCGCTGCGCCGGCTTCCCCTTTCCTGCTTCTCAAATAAACCGTGACTTTGGCCCGATCCGGTCCGGCGCTGAGCTCCGCGCTGCCGCTCACGTGAACTTCCCGCCCAAGCGGCCCTCCTAAGGCAGCTCTGGCCGGCTCATCCTCTCCCGTGCCGGAGTCGACCGGCGGGGACACCAACTCGGCGAACACCCGAGCTGGAGAGAGCGGCGGCGGCGGCGGCATTTGGCCGCAGCTGGAAATGAAAGGGGGAGGGGCCGTTAGGAGATCCTAGCAACGAGCGCGACGCCACGAGCCCAGGGAACGACGGAGCTTGTAGTGCTGATGGGAAAATCACGTGGAGGCCGCAGCCCCGCCCCGAACTGAAGAGGGGTGGGGTTTTGTGCCGCTGCGGAATCTTCTCTTATCATTCGCGTAGTATTGAGCGGGATGCAGTCTGGCGCTTGTGTCAGGATGGCCTTAGCAGTTCGTAAATCATGATTTATGACCTAGCATGGTTACAAACAGAACTCATAGTGATGTAGTCAGAGAAAGAGAGTTTATTCAGTAAGACATTGAGAATAATGATGTCTTATTCAATAAAGCAGTTTATTCAATAAGCCGTTGGCTTTAGGGTGGGGGATTGCGACGAGAAACGGTAAGGTTTTTCCGGTAAATTTAACATGGTTTAAGGAAGTGAGCTTGGCTTCCTGAGGATTAGGATGTTTTGTTTCTTATTATAGAGAATGAGCAGAGGCCTATAATTTTTAGCTGCCCTTGCTAGGCAGTTAAACTACTAGACCAGTGGTACCTTGGCTCTTTTATGACTTGTGGACTTCAACTCCCAGAATTCCTGAGCCAGCTGTGCTGGCTCAGGAATTCTGGGAGTTGAAGTCCATGAGTCATAAAAGAGCCAAGGTTGACTACCCCTGTACTAGACTGTTGCTATTTTACCTGGTGAGTGAGAATGTTGCTTTGGATCCTGCCGTGGAAGAATGAAAAATGTGCACTTTTTTTGAGATGGACTTTTTTGGCAAAGTTCTGAGCTTATCTTGGTACCCCGTGTTCCAACAGTCCTGTTCTCAAACATGCTGTTACTTCAAGCATCTTTGGAATTTAGGTCCAAATAAACATAATTAAAGTTGAACCTCAGAAATAATAATCGCATAAGTCCTTTTCTAAGGCCCCAAAGTGCCTAGCTTGGCTGGTTTTTGTTTAATAATTTTATTTCCAAAGGTAACACTACCCTATTATTCTATTATGGCTTCTATTATGGCCATTGCAAATTGTTTGATGACTAGTTCTGCCTTTAAGAAAGGAAACAGCCCGATAAGTCTTTCTATGCATCCTTTTTGAACTCTTTGAGATTTTATATATATACTAAGAATTTATCCACAGTGAAAGAAAGGGAGTACTAAGTACACGTCCGAAGTGCAATTTTGCTGGGTTTGGATTGGGTAAAATCATTCTTTGTTATATAAATTTATTGAGACTGGCAATTTATTTCCTTGAACTATAAATATTTATTGCAAGTGGCTTGAAGTAAAAAATCTACACACTTTTGGTATTTTAAATATTAACATATAATGACAAATTTATTGTAGTAACCTGGAAACAATATGGCTGTATAATAAAAAGTACATTCTAGAAGCAATTCTCTCTTTCTCCCACTGCCCATTTCCTCAACTACTAATTGTTACTTGCCTATTTTAATCCTACTTTGGACCATATCTGTTTGGATCATTTGAATATAGGAGGCACAGTGGCTCAGGGGCTTAATGACGCTGGAGATAGTCTCAGCTCCAGCGGTTCAAGCCCTAGCTCTGTGGCAGGGGGAGCTCCTGTCATTCACCTCAGCTTCTTTCCACCTAACAGCTCGAAAGCATGTTCTATTTGTGAGTAGATAAAGAGGTACCACTTTGGTGGGGACTTGGTGCTCTGTGAAGGCAGTTAGGTTCCTGATGGCTGTGAATTTTCCCATTTGTGGCACCTGCTTACGAAGCAGCTCTGGGAAGGGAGAGGGCCTTGGGTGACGTTGCAGGAAGAACCACTCATCTCTTTCTTGATTGTGAAACCAGCTCACCATCCTCTGGTGCATCTTGGAAAACAGGCAAGCATTTCCTATAACAGGGCTGGTACCTTGGAAAGCCAAACTTCTACTCTGCAATAGCATACTACTACTACTACTACTACTACTACTAATAATAATAATAATAATAATAATAATAATAATAATAATAATATAATAGCAGTAGCAGCAGCAAAAGAGGCTTTGCTGAAGAGGTGAATAAGGGAAACCTCTTGAAAACAATGAGATTGAAAGCAGAATATAGAAAGGAAATAATTGAGCATTGAGTTTCTAACTGGAAAAAGAAGCCTATGCACAGTCAGTACCTGAAGGACATTGAAAAACAGGCAGATACAAAGCTAATAAGGAACTGGTTGAGTTCAGGGATGCTAAAAAAAGTAACTGAAGGCATTATTGTGGCTACTCAATAACAAGCCTTGCAGACTAATTCAGTGAAAGCAAAAATTCAATATATCAGTAACAACAGCAAATGTCACTTATGAAACGAGAAGGAAGAAACAGTGGAACATCTTACCAGTGGCTGCAGCAAAATTTCACAGACTGACTACGTCATGACTGAGTTGCCAAAATCATACATTGAAAGCTTTGCCAGAAGTTTGGGTTCAAATGCAGCACAAATGATTGGGAACACCAAGTTGACAAAGTTCTTGAAAATGAACAGGTCAAGATCCCCGTGGAACTCTCAAATCCAAAGAGAAGAACATCTGGCCCACAACATGCCTGACATCATTATTATGGAAAAGAAAAAAGTCTGGTTCATTGATATTGCAATACCAGGTGAGGCACAAATTGAAGAGAAACGGCTAGGGAAAATAACAAAATATTGTGATTTGCAAATTGAGGTTGAGCAACTGTGGAGGAGGAAATCAATGATTGTACCAATAGTAATAAGAGCCCTTGGAACAATACCCAACGGGCTGGCTAGAATGATAGATGGAAATGTTGAACTTATTAAACCTGAAAATTCTGACTTTGCAAAAAAATCACCCTACTTGGAACTGAACACAAAACAAGATAATTGGTTACTCTTTGGTCTCTTTGTCTTTGTCAATATTTCTGGAGAAAAGATCTGCCAAAAGGACCTGCCAAAAGAAGACATTTTGAACACCTGAAGACAAATCTCCTGGAGGAGGCAAATTTACTAAATATTATAAATCATAGTGTGGATATAATCTATATTGGCTGGAGTCGTACCCAGATGCAATGTGTTTTGGCTGCATTCTGACCATTTGTTCTAAAGCATTTTGCAGCAGTTCTGACAAAATGCTTGAGCCATAAAGCCACATTTTGAAAAGCAAGGTAACTACATCAATATCAATCTTACATTGATTGCAATCTTCATGTATTAGTTTTCAATGGAATTTATATATGCCTGCTCTAATCAAAATGTTAATACTTGTAGTTGGGACAAAGTATGGTGAATTCAGATTTTTTGCAGCAATCCTTAAACAGACTGATTACAGATGAAACTGCTGAGAACAATTATTTTGATGTCCTTCCCTCTATTTCTAAAAATCTGCAAGGAATAGAAATTTAATCCTCTAGCTCTAAGTAGACCTTTAAAAATAATATCAACCTTGCTTATAATCCATATAATTCTTCTAAGAAACTATGATATCTCAAAACCATGATCAGGAAAGAATTATATTAAATTTTTATTTGAATTCTAAATATATATAAATTTCTGGAAATGTTGCTGCTTGGAAATAATCATAACATAGGGCAACAAAAATGTCTTGGATATACATTAGTGCAGCAGTTCTCAACCTGTGGGTCGCGACCCCTTTGGGGGTCGAACGACCGTTTCACAGAGGTCGCCTAAGACAGGGCTTTTCCTCCCCCCTGCCACTCCCCCCATGGCGTTGCCTTCCCCCTCCTTCACAGCTCACTTGCTTGTTGAAATTGAAAACAAGCTGCTTAGCGATGGCCTGCAGGAACCCTACTGAGTTGTTTCAACCAGACGCTGGTGGCCTTAGGATGCCCCACCCATTGGTGACATTGCCGCGCCCTGTTCCATGATGCCAAGGAATCCCCGCTCCGCCGGAGCCGGCCACAATAGAGCACTGGCCACCTGCTCTAACCAGGCACCAGCGGGCAGTCCTAGGGTGCGCCAGAGTCCCGCACGCCGCCCAGTAGGGTGCTGTCAGCTTCAAGGTCACACAGGTAGCCCTCAGCCACACCCCTCTCCACCTCCAAATTGATCCCCGATCGGAGAGAGAGAGAGGGAGGGAGGAAGAGAGGGAGAGAAAGAGAGAGGGAGAGAGAAAGAGAGAGAGGGAAAGAGATGGAGAAAAAGAGGGAGAGGGAGAGATGGAGGGAGAGAAAGGGAGGGAGAAAGAAAGGGAGAGAGGAAGAGAGAGAGGGAGAGAGAAAGAGGGAGAAAGAAATAGAGAAAAAAGGAAGGGAGAGAGGGAGAGAAAGGGAGGGAGAGAGAGAGATGAAGGGAGAGAGGGAGAGAGGGAAAGGGAGAAAGAAATAGAGGAAGAGAGAGAAAGGGAAAGAGAGGGGGAGAGAGAAAGAAAGGGAGAGAGAGATTAAATTAGTAACATGGTTCTTAAGTGAATCTGGTTTCCCCACTAACTTTGCTAGTCAGAAGGTTGCAAAAGGTGATCACATGACCCTGGAACAATGTGACCATCATAAATATGAATCAGTTGCTAAGCATCCGAATGTAAATCACATGACCCTGGGGATGCTGCAACGGTCATAAGTGTGAAAAATGGTCATAAGTCACTTTTTTCAGTGCCGTTGTAACTTTGAACAGTCCCTCAGCAAGCTGTTGTAAGTCAAGGACTAATTTTATGGGTTGGGGGTCACCACAACATGAAGAACTGTATTAAAGGGTCAGTGCGGCATTAGGAAGGTTGAGAACCACTGCATTAGTGGAAAGGATTCATTTTTTATCTGTTCTGTCTCTGCAGCTAGCAGCACATAATAGATAGTTTTCAGTAAAATTAAATCAGGCTGATATGATAGGAGCCAAAACTGAATTTGCTTGGGATTTTATTTATTTGTTCATTTATTGGGGGAGGGGTTGTGTTGAAGTTGGGGTGAGAGATAATTAGCAGATTCCATACATAATTTGCCATGCTCCATTTTTTCAAAGAAAGTGTATTATTTCTAACTCTTCTCTACTTCTTGATCGTTGGTCTGATGTTAATCTTGGTGTTAATCTATGCCCATCTGAGTGTTGACTGCTGATGGGAAGGTGTTTTGGT